AGCGCGGCCCCACCCCCGCCACGGCCCGGCCGCCGCCATCTCCCCGTCCGCACCGCGGCCTCGCATCGAACCATTCCCAAGGGCTCCTGAAGGCATCAGAGGCTTCCTGGTGCGGGCTGGGGGGGGACTGCCATCTGAAAATGCTGTGCCCGGCAATGCCGCCAGCGCCAGGCCGAGCTGGCAAGGCCGGCCGTGTTCGGTGCAGATCGCTTACTGTCACCTGCTGCTCCTGTCAGGTCTCTTGCTGATCCCCTCCCCGAGCATCTCTCCTGGCCTGCCGTGGCACGGGCGGCTGTGCAAGGTGAAGGGCTGGCGTGCTCTGCCCATGTCAGACTGGGACCCTTGCAGAGCAGGTGGATCTGTGGTGGCAGCATGGCTGCCTTTGCTGCTGTCCCTGCAACCACCTTCCCCTCCGTGAGTCACGCAGCACATGCTGGGTCTGAAGGCCGCCTGGGCTTGCAGTTTATACAACAAAACCAATGCTTTGACTTTTCACCCGCTCGGTTCCCTGTGCGGTTGTGCCAGTGCCAGGGTGTAAGGGAACACTAAGAGAAGGATGGTTATCTTGCAGCCATGCTGGTACAAACCAGTTGAGGAACTCGATTTTAAGGTGCTTTCAGGGCAGTGTACATAAAGATGGGCCACTGCTGCCCCGATACCACGGTTTTTGTCACACTTGGTCTTCTTCCAGCGGCAGCTGAGGGGGAGGAGAAGGCAGCTCAGGCTTCAGAAGGGAGGACTTCATGCAACCACAGGTATAACGTTCGCACTTTCCCCTTTTGCTTAGGGGGCTAGACTTCAGCCATTAGTGCCGATCCAGTCTGACAGCCAAGTGCCATACAAGCCAAATTTGGGACAAATTGGTTTTGGCAATGGAAATGTGAGGAGTTTGGATGCTGTAATCAGCTTACGTGTGCTACAGTTTGGGAGTTTAGGCCAGTGGAAGGATGGGTCACTGGACCCCTGGACATTTTTGCTTCTTGCTGCTAAGGTACTATACTTGGCTAAAATTGGTGATCAAACTCGGTAAAGTTGGCTAAACTCAGAGGGGAGTTTCTTGAGACAAATGGAAATGCGTCGTATCATCATGGCTCAGCTATCCCTGCACGCAGAGAAAATCAAAGCCATAGAGGCTCCATATCCTGGGGACAGGGTGTAAGAAGTGCCTTCCCAGGCCAGCCCAGCACCTGCCGAGCCCTGCAGGGCCTGGCAGCACCGGCAGCAGGAGGGGCAGCTGCCAGAGAGTGTGTGAGCCTGGCTGTGCTCTGCGCCCCGTCCCCCTGTGCTCCCCCGGGACCTGTGTCGCTGGCTTAGGGCAGTCGCTGACAGCCTGCAGTACCTCTTTCGGAGGAGGCTTTTTCAGGGGCCAGTCTTGACCCTTTGCTTGATCCTACCAGCCTCCAGTATCCCGTGGCACCAAGTACCAACGCTTTT